CGCTGGAGGCAGCTCTGGAAGTGAAGCCGGCTCTCCCGGCGGGGGGGGAGAAAGGCATGGAAAAGGTGGTGTGCGGTGGGTTTTCTGCCGTCTTCGTTCAGGTTTCGTACAGGATGACGGGCGAAGTTGGGAATGGAGTTTGCAAACCCACGGCCTGTATTCAAGTACGGAGAATGAACTGCTTCCCGATTTTGGTGTGCTAACTGTAAGGTAGATGGTGTGTCTGCCGGAGTGTTACATCTTCTGAGTTTTAATAATAAAATTAAGTTCGGAACGGGTTTATAAAATGTGTTAATATCTCTTCCACACTTCTTTCTAGAGTGTGACTGATGCTGAGGTAAAGGAGGTCTGATGGCAGTGAAGGCAAACTTGCCTGTGACAGCAGGATCTATAGTTGTCCCTTATGGGCATGTGATTGGGCATGAGAAGTGGAGAGGGTCAGAGGTGGCTCAAAGGCTACAAGGTAACCACAAACAAATTGGGAGAGAAAAAACAATTCCGGCAAAGCATTCCCCTCTATCCTTTTGTACGGTTCAGGTTGACTGGAATATGCTTTGCTCTGTGCCTGACTGTCCCATATTTGTAGTGCAGCCTCTCATAGTGGGCTGAAAATTCCTATTTGCCTGTCGTGCATCTACATGACCAGTTCTGTCCTGTTTCCATAGCAATGTAGAACAGAAGCGTCTGCTGCTTGGGAACCACAGCAGTGGGCTACTTGTGAATATGCATCTCCAGTGAAGTCCCTGGAATTTACATGGATGCTGGGACTGCGCTGCCATCTGTTGGCACGGCAAACTACCTTTTAGAATAGCCTGTGATATTTTTGCTCAATTCCAGAGTTTACTGAGAAGTTATCACACTCTCAGGTCTGTAGTTTAGAAGTGCTATTAATTGGCGTTACTGAAGGCATCACACAGTAATTTGGGTTGCTTGTACCAGTTTTCTTTGAAGAGGACAAATGCTTTTAAGGAATATGAAGCTGTTGTCAAGTCACTAGGGTTATCGACACATTAGGAAGGTTGTGCTGTGATTATTAGTATATTTTTAATGACTGTATTTTTTCTTTTAACAATCTTACCTTAAGGGAAAATTAGGCTCATCTTTGAAGATGGCTTGGGACTTGTGGATTTTCATCTTTCAAACAATACTTGCATTTTATATATTTCCGAAGCAGATTTGGTTGCAGGGAATGAATTCAGACGAAGACTGGTTCGGTTTAGAAATGTAAGTGCTCCATAAAGAGAAAAGGAAAAGTTTCCAGCTGGTGTTTGTTTATTCCATGCTTCTGAAAACATTCTTCTTATGTTATTTTTATTTTTTATGGGAGCTAAACTTTTGTGATGGTTTCCACCTGAAAGCAAAACAATTAGCAGCTGTGTAATAATGCCCTATCAAACCTACTGTTGCTGCAACTTCTGTTCTTCCCCTGATTTCTTTCAGGCAGCTCCTACTTGACATAAGTTTTCTGTGGTGCGTTGCGTCAGCTTGTCATTAACAAGGGCCTTTTTTCTTTCCAATACAGGGCAGCAGTTACTGGGGAATTGTAATTGTAGAGAAAACCCAAATAAGTGATCAGTACTTCTTAGCAGTACAAAAGCTTGTTGTGCTAGAACTTGGAATGGTGTTGCTTCCTGTGGCAAATCAAGCAGAAGCTTCTCAACTTATTACTCAGCTAGTAAGTTGTTATGTTTGTGGACAAACCTTTATTAAAACGTGGGATGTGGGGAGAATGACCGTTTTCCCACAATCACAGCTCATTTCTGAAAGAATATGTGGGATCTTAAAGGAACGCAACATACCTTGTTGTTTGAACGTCAGGAATGAATGTCCTGCAACAGCAACATGGTAGTATAGTTCAGTGGAAACAAAGGCAAACAATTTAAAAGAAACCAGTGCTGGGTTTTCTTTCATGTGGCCTTGCACTCAGGTGCTGCTGGATAGCATCAGGCAATCCTCGCTTAAGTTCTCCGGCAAAACCGACTCGAGATTTTCCTTTGTCTGAGGCTGGGGAAACTCTGTTCTTCTGTTGTTTCTCCCTTCCATTGTATCTTCTCTGACTGCATCAAAAAGCTGACAAGAGCATTGTGTTGATGCGTGGTTGGTGTCCTGGTGGGGCTTGTGGGTCTGCATGCAAACCCTTAGTAAGGGGGCACACTGCAGAGGCAGCTTGTTTTTAAAACTTCCTAGTGACTGCGCTGAACTCCTGAGGTGAAGCTATTCTGAAAACCAGCTCCAGAGCTCCAGCAGGGGCCACTCACTGTCACCTACGGTTCTGTTCTGCCTCAGGTCCGGGAACAAAGCAAGGATCACAACAGTAACCCCTTTCTTCGTAAACAATGTTCTCAGCTGGCAGAGCCATCGCTGTTTCGGACAGTGCAACAAATTCCAGGAGTTGGGAAAACAAAAGCTTTGCTTTTACTGCAGCATTTTGGAAGCATCCACCGGCTTTGTAACGCGTCGGTCGAGGAGCTCGAGCCGGTCGTTGGACAAACGGTAGCACAACAAATTTACACTTTTTTATGTTCCTGACATGCATGCATAGTGCTGTTTTGGAAAACCAAGACTTTTTGTTTGTTTCTTGTGAATTATAAAATCTTGGTTTTAATAATTACATCCTATGGTAATTTCCATAATCCCAATAACAACTGGAGGGTGTTGACTAGTTGTCTAGGTATTTCTCTGCTGCTGCTCCTTTACAGCTGTTCTGCTTTTGTAGATAGAGCTGTGAAAACTACCTCGGGAAGAGGGCTGTGAAGTGGTTTGCATCTATCTTGTACAAAAAAAAGTCAGAAAGCTGTCTTTTTCAGCATCCACAGGAAAAAAAAATGGAAAAGCAATTTGCTTGCTTACTGTTGTCTTCCAGCAATAAACAGTGTGTTAATATGTGGGTGGTTGTGCTGGTTTTATTTGGAATAGTGTTAGTGGTACTTGGGGGCTTACTGGGGCTAACCCTTGACAGCGGTGTTATCTTCTCAGTAACTGGGGATGTGAGTGACAGTGCTTTAAAAAAGTTAGCATACATCACTTCAGTGTAATACTGTGATACCCTCTCCAGTTCCTTTGGAAAGCCCTACTAGAATACACAGAACCACAGAATGGTTTGGGTTGGAAGGGACCTTGAAGACCATCCAGTCCCAACCCCCCTGCCATGGGCAGGGACACCTTCCACTAGACCAGGTTGCTCCAAGCCTCATCCAGCCTGGCCTTGGACACTTCCAGGGATGGGGCATCCACAGCTTCTCTGGGCAACCTGTCCCAGTGCCTCCCCACCCTCTCCGGGAAGAACTTCTTTGACTTTACACTAACTTACTTCTCTGGTTGCTTTTTCAGTACAGAGGGTATCATCAAATTTGTTCCCTTGTGTCTAATATCCCAAACCTTGGTTAATTTTTGTTATGCTCTTGAATATAGGTTGGGATAATAGTAACTAATACATTATAATTAATAATTAACATGTAAACTAAGTTTTAAATTTAATATAATATCAATTATATGCCACAAAGAAAATAATGAGAATTCATCCTGTTCTTCCACTATTTATCTTTCAAAGGTAATTTGTGAAGAGGAGGATTGATTTTTCCTGAGATCTTGTGTTTTACTTTAGATTATATTTTTATCCTATTTAGCAAGGAGGAAGTTGCCTTTTGCCTTATCTACACATAAAGGAGGTGTGTGAAAAGCTTCTTTCATAGTGCTGGGGTTTTTGGGCCACAGCAGGAAGGCAGTTAAGCAGGATTTTCAAGTCCCTTTTGTAAGGTAAGAAGCAGCGAGTAACAGAACCTTGGCACGTTCATAGCCCATCTCACCCCCTGGCTAGCGTGGACAGCAGATAGACCTGTCATCTATATTGATTCCTTACTGGGGATGAAAATACACCTAGAATTCAGGCATAAATATTTAATTTGCTGAATAATCAGCATTTCAAGACATACAGAACAAGATACTGTATCTTTACAACTAGGGAATGCTTAAGCTTCTTTATAAATCTGAAAGTTGTTTAGATTTGATTCCCCCTCTCTCAGACTTTGTCACTGCTATGGAGACTGGATTTCCCATCTAAAGGTATGTGCAAGGCAAACACCCTTCTAATTCCAACGGCCATCTCTTCAGTGCACTGAATAAAGTTCAGTAGTAACAGTTAGTGCTGGTGGAGTTACAGGCTGAACTACTCATCTATTGCAAACCTTTATTTTTAGGGCTTCACAGTATCCTTGTGGATAGAAACGTGTCTGAGCAAGAACAGAACTTGCTGTGAAATTAGTATTTGCCTTAAGCAAGCTGTTGGTTCCCACTCGCTGTCGAAGGAGTCTTTGGTTAGTTGGCAGAAAATAGGATGTATGTCTGCACATGGTGACTGAGAAGGACAACTTCTGACTTCAACTGACCTGTAAAGACCCCACCCCCACCGTTCCTCAAGGACTGGTGAGTGTGACAATGGGAAGGGAAAGGCAGTTAATCATACAGCTCAGGGGGGAGATATCTGCAGGAAGACTATAGTAGTGGGTTAAGAGAAATGAAGAGATAGAAGGGTGAGTCATGTGACTTTGCCAAAGATTTCATTAGAACCATAGATTCTTTAGGTTAGAAAAGACCAACCGGTTACCTAACACTGCTATGCCACTGCTAAACCCTGACCCTATACGCACCTCGTCCTCCCTCTGAAATACTCCACCATCTCCCTGGGCAGCTCATTCCGATGTGTGACAGCCCTTTCAGTAGAGAAATGTCTCTTAATATCCAGTCTAAACCTCCCCTGGCACAGCTTGAGGCCATTTCCTCTTGCCCTATCACTTGTCACTGATGCCACCCCCATCCCCCCTCTGCACCCTCTTTTCAGGCAGTCGTAGGGTGGTAAGGTCTCCCCTGAGCCTCCTCTTCCCCAGGCGGAACCTCCCCAGTTCCCTCAGCTGCTCCCCACAGGACTTGTGCTCCAGACCCTTCCCCAGCTCTGTTCCCTTTTCCAGACACGCTCCAGCCCCTCAGTGTCTTTCTTGGAGTGAGGGGCCCAAACTGACCCCAGGGTTCAAGGTGCAGCCTCAGCAGTGCCTAGTACAGGGGGAGGACCCCTGCCCTGGTCCTGCTGGCCACACTGTCCTGATACAGGCCAGGATGGCTTCTTGGCCACCGGGGCACACTGCAGGCTCACATTCAGCTGCTGTCGACCAAGCCCCCAGGTCCTTTTCCACCAGGCAGCTTCCCAGCACCTCACCTCCAAGCCTGGAGCGTTGCAGGGGCTTGTTGCAGCCCAGCAGCTGGATGGTAATTTTAGCCACACGTGCAGAGTAAATCTCTTCTGCATGGAACATTGTACAGCAGGGCCTTGCACACTGGTGTGTGACTGCTGGTGCGTGCACAGGAAGCATTACTACGAACACACATGGAGAATAACTCCTCTAAGGATAGGTGAGTCAAGTAATTTACAACTTACTTTTTATTGTAATCTTTATAGGGAAGCGAGAAACACATTAACACTCTCTGTATAATACAGGAACTTGTAAGAAAGACAGTTTCTTAGATCACTGTAAGTAACATTACAAAAGCGTGCAAGTGCAAGAGGTATGCCAGCAGCAAATAGTGAGAACCTGTAAATTCTGCTGTATCACCCAAGCTGGAGCAGAAACTAAAAGCTACTACTAAACAGCAGCATCTGATTCTTAAATAAGTGTCATCAACATATTTACACCTATTACAGAAACTAAAAATAAACAGCTTCAAAGTTTACACCCAGACGCAAACTTTTCCGTTATTTCAAGTTTTGAGTATCAAACAGCATATATCTACTCTGTAGATGGCAATGTTAACTAACACTGCAGTGTTAGCCATTTTCACTTCATTTCAGTTTCAGAAAATAGAAGCAGCTCAAAAGATGTGCTCATGCTATTTTTTTTGTCTCCCTCCTTTATACATATATATATACAGCCAGTATTTGCTTGTGAATGGTTCCAAGGGGAGGAGGATTTTATATCTATCTGGTTTTGTACTTGTGATAGTAAATAAATAATCTGGCACTTACACTTTCTTCTTTAAGCATCGCCACAACTTACGTACTCTTCATCAATATGCTGGAATGTGTCTGTTTTCAGATCTGTTCCACAGCTACAATTTTTACCAAGACTAATGAGATCCAAGTCTTGCGGTAAGTAGGTTAAATAATTTCAAGTTTGGAACAAAGCCCGTTCTAACAATTGAATCAGCAGGCGTATAAAATGTAACCTAGATCAGAAAAAGAGCAGAGTAAAGGCCTTTTGTAGTTCAAAAGATCTTCTGACTTCTAAGCCTTCTAACTCTCGTCCAGAGTTACACTGACTGTAGGTGCATTCACCAAACTGCCCTCAGAAAGGGAACGTCTGTGCACAAAACCCACAGCTACATCACACGGCCCCCAGCACAAGGCTAGTTCCTCTCAATACCATCGTTCTCTCTTCCTGGGGCTGTAAGACTAGTTCTTTCATGTTAAGTGATTTATTACTGACTCTAAACTTTTACAGCAACCTGTCCTTTAAGGCGTCCCCCTGCAGCATCAGGTTTGTCATAAATAACTCCCTCTCTCATAAAAAAATTAGTTGTGCTACTGTATTTTGAAATTCCAAAGGAATCAGTCCTTACATAAGCAATGTTATCCTCTCCACACTGCTGCTCCACACCTCCCAACCCACTTAATCCTAACCTTCATATCCTCACGTTTGTAAGCAATGTTATCCTCTCCACACTCCTGCTCCATACTATCCTAACCTTCATATCCTCACGTTTTACCCTTTTTGCCTGCCTCTGACCTTCATACCGGCTCAATCCACAGTAAATGAAGTCGGTGGCATTTGTCTCGATTTATACACACACATAAAATGGATCAACGTATTTTACACACAAAGAAACAGTCACGTTAACAGATCCTTCTGAACACCTCAGTAGAGCGAGCTTTCCGTGTTCAGGAGCGTGAAGGGAGAAAGCTTCTTCTTAGCCTGCGAGCTGCCAGCCACAGCTGAAGGCAGGCAGAGCGTGCTTGCAGCTTTCTGTCTGTTTTTAGTTCCCCAGCTTAGGAAAGGCAGTTTCAGGGGGGCTTTCTTGGTCTGATCAATCTTATCCTCTTCCATGGCTAAACAGATTAAGGAGTAGGTCTTCTGCATTCCCACAGAGTAAGTTGCACTCTTATTGTGCTGAAGGAAAGAGAAAAGCACTGTAAGAATCAGTCATCCAAAATGGGTCAAAACTTTTAGGATCACAAATGGTTACTGTGCAAGTGGCTTTCCAAGGCAGCCTACAGCAGGCTTTCTGGGCTAACGCCATCCTGGCTGGCTACCGGGCCGTCACAGGGCTGCCGTGCTGGTATTCCGCCCTCCGCCCTCGCAGCCAGACCCAGGGGTATGTTGGGCGAAGTGGGAAGGGGCTCGCGCGCCTTTTCCACAGGCTGTTACAGTTAGCACTCACTGGCTTCCCGCGCGACTACACGATACGTGCGCTGACCTCCCTACAAAGCTCAAGTTCGTAGTTCTTGCTGTGCAAAGAACAGGGAGCCCTTCTGCCATCCCTGG